GGTTAACTCTGCAGAGGTGGGGAAGGTTAGAGCAGCCAGAAGCCCCAGAAAAGAAAGAAAGAAAGAAAGAAAGAAAGAGAGAAAGAGAGAGAGAAGGAAGGAAGGAAGGAAGGAAGGAAGGAAGGAAGGAAGGAAGGAAGGAAGGTAGGTAGGTAGGTAATGGAAATTTACCTGTATTACAATTCAAAACTTGAGTTTCATGGTTAATGTAAATGTTTGTTTACATGTTCATGACTCTAGTTTATGAGTACATTAAATATGTCTAGGATGATAGTTTTACTCATATAGATGAAAAAGATCAATTGAAAAATTTGTCCCTAAGTTTTTTTCTTTTAATTAGAGATATACTTTAAGGTGGTTAGTCAGTGATGGATATATAGATATAGATTTTATCCTATACTTTGCATCACAAAGGAATACGGAAAGGCATGAGTCCTGGACTCACAGGAGCTATAACTCCTCGCCAACTCCCCCACAGTGTGGTGAGTGAATTTGGCAAGTGGCTTAACTGTGCCTCATGTCTTCACCTACAATGTAATATAAAGTAACCCTTACCACAAGCTTAACACAAGACCAGAAGAATTTACATATTTAAACTTCCAACTGCAACAACGATAAATACAGACATAGATGCTAGAGGTGGAGTTACACTAGACAGTTACACTTCCGTGTTTGTCCTGTTAGTTTGGTCTTCCTTTGACCTGATCTTTGCTATGCCTTTATTCCTCCATTGCAATAAAACTGTTTACACCAGTAGATATTAGAAATTAAAAAAAAAAAAAAATTAAAACCATAGAGCCGAATGTGATGATGCATGCCTACAAGCCCAGTACTGGAGAGGCCGAGGTAGGAGGATGGTAAGTTCAAGGCATATCGGAAGATACTGTGTCAAAAATCAAAAAGAAAATACGAGATACCAAAGGTATCATTCATTATGTCCACAAGGGCAACTGAAATCAACAGTGACATAACCTATCTGCTATTAAAAACAAGAAGAAAAGAGCAAATGATGGTAAGGCTATTGAGAAATTGTGGTACTTTGGGTTAAGTTGTACAACAGTGCAATTGCATAGAAAATAGTATGGAGGTTCCAAAAAAGAAACAGAGAGAACACACGGCCCAGCAACCTCATTTCTGGGTGTGCACCTGAAGTCCAAGAAGTTCTAGGTGCATTATACATATGTTCACAGCAGCACTCACAATGTGCTAATGACAGGAGCATCCCAAATGTCTATCAATAAATAAACAGACAAATAAAATGTAGAGTACACATTACTTAGCTTTTCAAAGGAAGAAAATTGTCACATACTACAGCATTGACTCTTAAGAACATTACATAAGCATGAAAAAAACCAGCCTCTTCTCTCTTCTCTCTCTCTCTCTCTCTCACACACACACACACACACACACACACACACACACAATACTGAAGGGAGGGGGCAAATAATCCTATATGATTCCACTTACAAGAGAAACTGAAAGTGGAGTGGTGTTTACCAGGCATTGGTGGGGACAAAAGGGAAGTTGTTTGGTGAACAGTGTTTCAGTTTTCTAGGCTAAACACGTTATGGAGATAACTTCAGGACAAATACTAACTGTATACTGATGGTTAGATGGCAGAACTTATTTTATGTTGCAGACAATTTTAAAAAAGATAGTAACAAGTCTTGATGACAATGTGGTAAAATAAGAACCTTTAAACACTGCTAGTGGGAATGTATACACAGATGCTTCCATTTAGATAACAGTCTGGCAGGTCATCAAAATGTTAAACAAAGAGTTACCATGTGATCTAGTAATTCTTTTTTTGTTTTTTGGGGGTTTTGTTTTGTTTCTGAGACAAGGTCTCATATAACCCAGAGTGTCTTTTAACTCTCCATATTGTAGGTGAAGATGACCTTGACTGCCCAATCCTCCTGCCTACATGTCTCTAAACACTGGAATTACAGGTATATACCACCATCATAGGCTGTTCTAGCACTTCTATTCTAGGTATACACTAAAAGACATTCACAATAGTTTGTGACCACTTACAACAGTGAAAAAGTGAAAACCACCCAAATGTCCATCAAGTGAGAAACGGGTAATAAAATGTAGTATATACATACAGTGGGATATATGGCTATAAAAAGGAGTAAAGATCTGATACATATTTCAGGGTGGATGAACTTGAAAGCATGCATGTAGTGAAGCATAAGAGGTGGGTTTTGCAGTCCACATCTGTAATCCCAGACCTCAGGAGGTAAAGGCAGTAGGAGCATCAAAGTCATCCTCAGCTACATAACAAGTTGAGGCCAGTCTGAGTTACATGAGATCATCTCAGAAAAGAGGTGAATCAAAAAACACCACATATTACATGATAAAATTACAAGTTTCCAGAATAGGCGAAACTACAGCCACAGAAAACACAATAGTGATTAGTGGCGACCTAGGTCTGGCAGGGGGAGAGTAGGAGTGGAGCACAGGTAGAATGAAGAAACTGCCAATGAACACAGGGTCCTTTAGAAAGCAATGAAAAGCTCTAGTCACTTTGTGGTGATCGCTTGCAAATATTGGGAGGAAGGAAAGGGTGGAGGAAAAGGGAAAACTCTCCATGTATATACTTCATAGAACAGTTCTCACAAGCCTTTACCTCTTCCCTCAACTTTCTGATAAGTTCGGTATCATTGTGATGCGTTTTGATGAGTTCAGCTTTGCCACTTGCAACATGCGATGCACTTTCGATTAGGTCAGGCCGTAAAGTGCCTTGGGCAAGGAAAACCTCCTCAGGCTTCAGATTCATTTCTCCAATCACTTCATTGGCAATCTATTATCAACAAGAGCAGAACAGTCTTCTAAGAAATGAATCTTTTCAAGGAACAATGCTTCAGTGAAATTTTGGAGTCTTTATGGACTACTAACCAAGAAATTAGATCCATCAAACACCACCACCCAAAAATTCCTAAGGACAGGTACGTTGTACATGATTCAAAAATCAATGCAAGCATCCCCTTTGAAAGCCTGGAATCTAGCATTAAAATATCAAATACAAGTCCAGTATCAGCTGAAAACATTGATTCTCAAACACTTAAAACAACAGCTTAGCAACATGCATGCTTTTTAAACATAAAAGTTTCTACCTGTCAGCATGAAAATAATACATAGTAAAAAAAAATCATCCACAAAAGAAAAAACAAATTTTGTTATTTGATATACTGATTTAAAAATAAATTTCACATAATAAACACCGAATACATTTTTTAAAAGGTACCTTAACAAAAGTATCGCCAATGATTTTTCTTTTCTCCTCGGGGCTTGTAGTCATATTTAATGTTTTGCTAATTCTTTTTCGTGGGGTCCTGTCTTCTTCTGAGATTGGTAGAGTAGTTGTTCCATTGTAGAAGGAATGAGCAGCATTTATCACTTGGAGAGACCATTCAGAGAAGTACTTTAAACTATTGTTTTTCTTCAAGTCACAAATAATTTACCAAAAAAATGAGATGCATCCTTTAACTTTCCTTAAAACCCTAAAGCAGGAGGGTTCAGATAGGGGAATTCATTCAATTTACCTCTTGTGAGAATCCTGTAGTGATACAAGCCCACAATGCTGCCAACTATGCTGGTGGCTTTCCCTCTGTTCACTGTTCTACCAGAACAAGCCAAAGCCATAGCAAGAAGGACAGCAGAGAGTCAAAGGAAAAGCAGCGGTTCACATTAAACAACAACATAGTTCCCCAGAACAGCACACTGACTACCTTTTTCGAAACTGGTATCTATGAACACGTATTTACAATACTTAGGTATCCGTAAGAGCAAGAAATCAGGCTAGGGATGTAGTCCAGTGGCAGAGCATTAGGAAATAACATTGTAAAAGGCCCCGGGTTTGATCCCAGGTACTGTTAAAAAAAAAAAAAAAAAAAAAAGGGAGGGGCAGATGATGAACTAAAAAGTACGATCACAACTCCTGAAGGCTTCACCATGTGATGACAAGGCAAGTGGTTGTTTCACTTGGGGTCCATCAAAGACATAAAGGTCCTTTTCTTAGCCTTGTCTGTTAACCCCAGAGAAGACAAGTTCCTGCCAATTAGTATTCTTAAAGTGAAACAGAGTTCAGGCAGGGTGGAAGGAGGGAATCACCATTCAACATAGTTTATACCAGTTCTTAGTAGTATAAAATTTTATCTATAACCTCAACTACACCTGGTATCAGGTTCCCAAACCCTATCTTAGTAAACCATCAGTTTTCTGATGGGCAAAAACAAAACAGTTTGCTCCTTGCATTAAGGAAAAGGATCTGTTTGTTTCCCATGTTTTCAAATAGTTCCTGTTTTAAGCTCACCTAAGAGACCCAAGCCACAAAAGAATCAAATGTTTCTGATTCCTCAGCCTCCAATGAAGTCTGCTGCATAAATCAGCTTGTTTCTTGTTAGGTTCCTTCCCATTTGTGCCCCAAGACTTTGAATTCCTCCATTCTACTGATCCAAGCTTTTGTGGGGTTGAAATTTCTGTTAATATGAAGGCTCCCTTCATTAGCTGAGCAATAGGGGCTGGAAAGAGGGCTCAGTAGCTAAGAGCATTAGCTGTTCTTTCAGTGAACCTGGGTTTAGTTCCCAGCACCCAAATGGTAGCTAACGACCATCCATTAACTCCAGTTCCAGAGAATCTTATGCTTTCTTTAAGCCTCTGTGGGCACTTATATGTATGCAAGCAAACCACTCATAAACAAAAAATAAATTCAATACTTTAAAAAAAAACCCTTAAAGGGGCTGGAGAGATGGCTCAACACTGGTTGTTCTTGCAGAAGACCTGGGTTCAAATCCGAGCACCCATATGGCAGCTAACAACCATTCTTAACTCCAGTTCCAGGGGATTCAACAGTCCTCTTCTGGCCTCCATGGGCATTGCATGCATGTGGTACTGGTCTACATAGTGAGTTCCAGGCCAGCTGGGGCTACAGGGAGACCCTGCCTCAAAAAGAAAAAAAAAAAAAAAAAAAAAAACCCTTAAAAATCAAGTGTTATACTGGGATGTGCAATGGCTAACCAAAACTTAACTGTACTCATCTATGATTATTACAAATCTTACTAAATCAAAACTAAAGGTCAACTTTTCCTTAGACTGATCTCAAGATGCACTGTAACTCCTTTATCACATAACAGACCACTAGGCTGGAAAGAGAAAACTAGTCAAGCTCGAATTACAAAATAAAATCTTATTTGCAAATTCCAAAGATGCACAGCTATGTGAAGACACTGCTAGACCCTACCAGGACTCTGGAAGAAGACTAACTTAGTGAGGCCCCTGAAAGCTTAAATCTCATTAGCTTATCAGAGAAAACCCACCTCAGGCACCTGCTTTCTACTTTCCAATGTTTGTTGAAAACATCTATCTGCTCTTATTATTAGCATTCCTTACCCTTGCATCATTGCACCTATTTATGCCTTTACTGCCGGTCCTGCTTCGAAAGGAAAGTAAAATATATTCATTCTGTCCTTATTTAGGTATCTTCACTTTATATTCAGCCTTTTAGCATCAATTCCAATTAAAATTAAATTAATAATAATGTACAATTATACTTTTAAACTACTAAACCATTTCACTGTAATCAAGAAGTACAAAACATTCCATGAATGTAAATATCATTTAACAAGTGTTAGGGATTACCATTTACTTTAACAATGAAGGACTTTTGTCTTTGGCAGTGTTGAGACAGAGTCTCACTATGCAGCACTGGCTGGTTTATAACTTCCTATGTAGACTAGGCTGGCCTTAAACTCACAGAGGTCAACCAGCATCTGCCAGAACTAAAGGCATGTAGCACCACACCCATCTGGCTCCTTTTTTATTTTTTTATTTTCCTGTGTCTGTCACACACTGGGGCCTGAAGTCAACACTGGGTGTCTTCCTCAATTGTTTTCAACCTTCCTTTGTGGGGACACAGTTTCTCACTAAACCTGGAACTCACCAATTCAGCTAGACTGGCTGGCCAACAAGTTCCAAGGATCCTCCAGTCCCCACCTCCCCAGTGCTTTTTATGTGAGTGCAAGAGTTCACACTCAGGTCCTCATACTTGTCTGGTGAACATTACCAACTGAGTCATCTATTCAGCTTTGGGTTTTTTTTTTTTTTTTTTTTTTTTGAGACAGGGTTCCCCTGTAGCCAGGTAGCCTAAAACTCGCTTTGTAAACCAGGCTGGACTCAAACTCACAGAGATCCACCTGCCTCTGCCTCCTGAGTGCTGGAATTAAAGACACGGGCCACCACACCAGGCTTTATTCAGCTTTTATATGAGGCAGAGTCTCACTATACAGCCCTGGCTGGTCTGGAAATTGATACATAGATCAGACTGGCTGGCCTCAAACCTATGGAGATCTTCATGACTCTGCCTCTTGAATTCTGGTATTAAAGATATGGGTCACTCCACACCCAGATAGCTTGTTGTACTTTTTAAAGAGTCAGTCTAGCTATGTTGTTTAAGCTGACCCCAAGTTTCTGGACTCGATTATCTCTCCACCTCAGTCTCCAAGCAGCAATAATGTGCACACCACCATGCCCAGCTAACTACAGACTCTTAATCCCCTTTCTCTGTATGAGCATGGTTGTATAGATTCATACCTGTTGTAGGAGGACTTGAACACTCACATGCATCAATAGTACTGTGAAGTAAGTTGGGAAGATGGTGGAGAACGGTTAACTTCCAATTTCGGTGTAAGCACATTAGTCAGCGTTTTAAAGTTTACATTTGGATCCCTCTGGAACCAGAGGTATTATGGAAAAAAAAAACCCTGACATAAATTAACTTTTCCCTGACTAATACCTTTGACCTGCATTCCAAGCTTTTTGAGGGCCTCTTCAACAGACTGGCTTTCCCGTTTTCTCATAAAGCCATTATCAATGTGCACAGCAATGACTTGATCTTGGTTCAAAGCACGATTTAGTAAAGCTGTACAAACTGTTGAATCCACACCACCACTGAGTAAAACCTAAAAGTAAAATGGAGAGAGAAAAGTCAAATAGAATGAAGAGAAACAAAACACTTACCAACCTGTATCATTCCTTCAAAGCACTGTTTATATCAAAGATATACACAGTAACTGAAAAAATAGGGGCTACACAACAGACAAATCTTAGGTTGACCCCGTCAGCGGGCAAGCCCTGGGCTAAGGAATCCAACTCTGGGTTCCAATACTTCTGGCATAAATTCAGGTGAAAACTACTTACCAAAACTTTTGATGTGCCTACTCTCTCTTTGATCTCACGAATGCATTCAAGTTCTCGGTTCTGCACGGTAAAGGTCCCAGTGCACCCAACTATCTCATAAAGGAAATTCTTCAGTATTACTTTTCCATTCTCCGTAAGGCCAACTTCAGGGTGGAACTGGACTCCGTATAATTTTTTAGATTCATTTGCTATACCTTCATAGACAAAAACAATCATGAAGTGTTTTCATGTTGAAGACACAACAAATACCTACAATTCATTCCTCAAAATCTTTCTCTGGAAATGTTAAAGCTTATATGCCTCATTTGATTTTTAGTTTACAGAGAAAGAAAATATATAGCACATATAAAACAGCATTGCTGTAATCTTTACAAAAAGTCTTTCTTTATGAGCAATAGGACAGTGCACAGAGGTTATTTCACTGTATTCTCACTTCTCTATCATTATTTCAATTTTCTTGTCTATTTAAATATAGTTATAACTCAGGTGGGCATGGCGGTATACACCTTAATCCCAGCACTTGGGAGGCAGAGGCAGGCAGATCTCTGAGTTTGAGGCCAGTCTGGTCTACATAGCGAGTTCCAGGTCAGCTGGGACTACAGAGACACCGTTTCCAAAAGACCTCCCCAAGAAAAAAAATAATAATAACTACTCAATTTCAATTCACAACCTATTCTAGTTTACTTTCCTACTGCTGTGATAAACACTATGACCAAAAGCATGAAAAGGAAAGTTTATCAGGCTTACAGCTAGCTCATCGTCCATCAACAAAGGAAGCCAAGGCAGGGACTGTAGGGAGAACTGAAACAGAGACCACAGTGGAATGCTGTTTACTGGCTTGCTTCCCCCAGCTTGCTCAGTTATCTTTTTTAATGCAGCCTAGGTCCACTTGTCCAGGAGGGGCACTGCCCATGGAGGGCTAGGCCCTCTTGCATCAATTATCAAGTAAGAAACTGTCTTACAGTCATGGCTACAGAGTGATCTGATGGAGAAAATTTCTCAATTGAAGTTCCCTCTTCCCAGATGTCTCTTGTTTGTGTTAATTTGACAAAAACTAATCAGTACACAGGCCTACTCGGCTTTCACATTAGCAACCACCAATTTCTATATTAAAAAAATCTCATACAACAAACTTTTCAGTTTGAATACTACTAACCACAAACACAGGTTGAGTAATCCTACCTACCCTGAAATGTCTGGGATCAGAAGTATTTGAGACTTTTTCATATTATCTTAGGAGACCCAAGTGCAAAAATGACATTTATATTTCATATACATGTAGTCTAAACTGTACAATATTTTTTGTGTGTCTGTATTTTGACAGCAACTTGTCATCTGCAGCTTATGCAAAGAAATTACTACTTAAGACTTTGGGTTAAGGATCAAAACATGTTGGACTTCTGGACTCGGCTACTTTCAGATATTCAGACTGAAAGTGCTCACTTCAGTTCACCTACTTTACTAATGTGTTTTAAGTAATTACTAAGGAACATGGACTAGGCAAGATACTTTATATGGGTGTGCGTTATACTTGTTCACCTTATTGAGAATTTGTCTGAGCTCAAAGTAACTAAATCATGCCTAGCAGACTCCGACTCACACACCTTCTACCACACTAAGGTACTTCACACTTTCTTTGGCTTCCAGGACACCACTCTCTTGGTTTACTTGTGATTTCACTGTTTGCTCCTTCCAACTCTTCTCTGCTGATTGCTCTTCACCTGGCCCACCTCTACATGAAGAAGCTGCCCAGCACTCAGCCCTTAAATGTTTTCTTCATACATTCTAAGCGATCTCATCATATTCTAATGATCATAACACTCTATTCTTATCCCCAAATCTATACCTCCAGCCTCAGTTTCTCCTCTGAAGTCTAGATGTACTAGAAAACTTCATTTTGATGTTTAATAAAGCATTTTTAATTTAATCTATAAACCCAAACTCACAAAGTATCTCTCATTAAGTAAACAGAAATTTCATCCTCCAATTTCTCATGCAAAAAACATCTGGCAGTTTAAACTGATTCTATTTTAGCTTTGCCACTCTACACGCAATAATCTACAAGCCCTTGGTCTTTCATTCAGAGCATTATCACAATCCAATCACTTATGACTCTCACTTCAACCAACCTGCTCTAAACACTTTCTCCCCTGATCACTAGAACAGGTACCTAGATGGCCTTTCTGCTTCTACCTCTGACCCAGACTATTTCCTCCTTAATCGTGAAATCAGAACATGTCTCTTCTTTATTCAAAACTGCACCTAAACTATGAATAAAACCAATGTTTTTACAATGGCCCAAAAGCCCCAACTCCCTCTCTAATGCCAGGCTTATTCTTATTTCAACCATGTTCTTCCTTGTAATTCTCAAATTCCATCTCAGGACCTCTGTACTGCCATTTCCTCTTGCCCCAAATATCCATAGGAGTCAGCACTGATCTTCCTCGGGTCCAATGTCATTTTATAGCAATACCTTCCCTAAATACCCTAGATTAAGCAGTAACATCCCTAATCACACTTACACTTACTAATTCTGCCTCCTATGTCAATGTAAACAATACTGAACATATGTACATTCTCTATTTGTATACCATCTATCCTCGCCCATTACCATGTTAGACAGTGTGGTGGCTAATCCTGGGTGTCAACTTGACTGGATCAGGGATTAACTGAAATGAGAGAGATCTTCTTGATTGGATCATCTGAAGCTGGAAGACACACCCTAAATGTGAGTGTTACCTTCTGATGGCAGCAGTATAAAAGGCCATGGCAGAGAACACCTGGCTTCTTGCTGCTTGCCTTCTCTCTCGCTGGTGAGTTCGTCTTGCTGCTGTAGACTGAAGACTAGCTGATCTTTTGGAATTCGTCAGACCTTCAGCGCCAGATTGGGACTACTGAGACACCCAGCCTCCTGGACTGAGCGACTATGGATTCTCAGCCTCTCCAGTGTGGTGCAGCCATTGTTGGACTACTCAGACTCTATCCTGTGAGCTAAACTTATAAATCTCTGTACATATATATTCATTCTACCGGTTCTGTTTCTTTGGAGAACCCTGACTAATACAGACAGAGATTTTGTCTTACAAGGATACATTACTATACTATACACTATAGAACTGTGTCTGATGTATTCTATGCACTCAAAATGTTTGTTCATAGAATATAAACACTGGGAGCTGAAGAGATGGATCATTAGTTTACTTAAGCTCTTGTAGAAGACCTGGGTTATGCTCCCAGCACTCACATGGCAACTTGTGACCATCTGTAACTCCATTTCCAGGGTATCTGATACCCTCAAAGGCAAAGGCAGGTGGATCTCTGAGTTCAAGGTCAAACTGGTCTACATAGTAAGTTTCAGGCCAGTCAGGGCTATAGGAAGACTCTTATCTCGAAAGAGACAGAAGGGAAGAAAAAAATCTTAGGAAAAATAAAATATAAATACTACCACTTTCTACCACTGTTAATCTTTTATACAAAGTAAAGATCTTTCAATATAAAAATCATTTTTTGCCAGGAGTGGTGGTGCACACCTTTAATCCCAGCACTCAGGAGGCAGAGGCAGGCAGATGTCTATGAGTTTGAGGCCAGCCTGGGCTACATAGTAAGGCTGTACCTCAAAAAAAAAAAAAAAAAAAAAAAGAATACTTTTAAGTCAGACATGATAGGTAACACCTTATAATTCTAGCACTCAGAAGTCTGAGGCAGGAAGGTGGCCCTGAGTTTGAGGTCAGCCCAGGATGACTGCAAAAGTAAGTTTCCAGACCAGCTTGTCTCAAGAAAAAAAAAAGTATTTTAAAACAGTACATGCTTCCTGAATGATTCTTTAAGACTAAATAAGCTTGATTATTAACATGGATTCTATTACTTTTTAAAAAAATATTTTATTATTTTATGTGTACGAGTGTCTGTATGTATGTGAGTGCACCTGTGTTGTGCAATGCCACAGAGGTCAGAAGAGGGCTTCAGATTCCCCTGGAACTGGTGTTAAGGACGGTTCTTAGCTGCCATGTGGGTGCTGGGACTTAAACCTGGGTGGTCTGCAAGAGCAGTCAGTATTCTTAACCACTGAGCCATCTCTCCAGACCCTATTTTTATTTTTTTATGTGTATGAATGTATTGCCTGCACGTATGTAAGGGCACCCATGTTGTGCAGTGCCCGAAGTCAGAAGAGGGTGTCAGATCCCCTGGAACTGCAGTTAAGGATGGTTGTTAGCTGTCATTGGGTTCTGGGAATTGAACCCAATTCCTCTGCAAGAGCAGATGGTGCTCTTAACTGCTGAGCCATCTCTCCAGCCTGATTCTATCACATTTGCAACAGCTATTTTAAAAATGAGAAAAGGTCCATGAGATGGCAAGTTTGGTACTTGCTACCAAATCTGACAAATTGATTTCAATCCCTGAGACTCACAGAGAGGAAGGAAAGAACCCACAAGCTGACCTTCACATGCACATGCACCATCCCCCAATCATTCATAAGGGGAAAAAAGGGAGACCAAAGAGTATCTCATACAAAATCGTACGGTCACTCTGCAATTTCTGAAAAATGAAATCTGCAAAATTTAAAACTTTTACCTGCAACAATGTTACCAGAACGTGCCATGACCTTGAATCCATCAGCTACTTTGTCTACACTGTCTCCATGTGTAAGCAAAACAATTTCTTCCTTCTGAAGGCCCCTAAATGTATAGAAAGTAAAAATTTATAAACAAATCTTAATGGAAATGATTAATAGGTCATTTTGTTTAGAAAATTTTGTCATATGTATAGATTAAGAAAATAGAAAAAAATCTGTAACTATGCAACACAACACCAATGATAAGCTAATAAAGGATATTAAACCTCAAAAAACAGCAATTCATGAACATTGAGAACTAGGGGCTGGAAAGATGGCTCAATGGATAAGAGCACTTGCTATACAAATAGAGGACTTCAGTTAAAATCCCCAGCAGCCTCATAAAAAGCCAGGTATAGCCTCAAATGCATCTGTAAGCCCAGCACTGTGGAGGATAGAGACAGGAAGATCAGGGTTGTTTCCTGGTTGCCATAGCCTAGCTCCACAATTACTTTTGAGTAAAAATGGCATTTTTATACATCAATTTTTGAAAAAGCATAATTGTTTTGGCAGTCCTGAGAATTACACCCAGGACTTCACTCCTGCCAGAAAAATACTCTGCGGCTGAGCTACACCCCTCATCCCTGAAAATTAGAAATTTTGAAAATTAATTATTTTTTTCCTTCATTATTATTAATCAAGAGTCACCTGGAGTCAATTTTGTATTTAAAACTCATTTCATATAATACTTCATGACTTGAATTTTATATTTTTGAATCTGCCCAACTGGGAACAAATCACAAAGAACTTAGGCACAGGTCATAGGAATCCTTAAGAATATATAGTAATGTGGAGCACAATGGCTCAAGCCTTTAATTCTAGGAGACACAGGTGGACCCTGTGAGTTTGAGGCCAGTCTGGTCTATCGAGCAGGTTCTAGACCAGCCAGGGCTACACAGTGAGACCTTGTCTTTTACATATAAAATATCTAGAGAAACTGCATAGTTGAAAAACAAAACAGAAAGCGTTCATTAATAAACATCAATCTGCACCTTATATATTTAATAGTTAGGAAGAAAAATAGCTTTAAAACAAAATTAAAAATAAAAAAAACAAGTGAGTCCACCAATAGTCCATCATAAAAAAATAAAATATTCTCAGGCTGGCCTCCAGCTCACCATTTAGCTGAAAATGACTTGAACTTGTGATCCTCCTGCTTCCACTTCCCAAGTGCTAAGATTTTTTTTTTTTTTTTAAGCAAAGCAGCTCAGTGATCCTAGGAAACATGTGAATAGCAGCTTCATCTCGGGATCATTCATGCCAAGCATGTACTATGCACTCTACCTACAAAGCTACAACTCCAGCCACAATTCATGAATTTTTAAACAGATTAGAGCTACAACATAATTATTATGCCTAGCAATAAAATCAAATAATACATTCACTATATTAAAAACACTGTATACTGCCCATGCACACCTGTAATCCCAGCCCTCGGGGGAATAAGGCAGGAAGATCAAGTTGAGGCCAACATATGCTACACAGCAAGACTGCCTTGGAAAAGAGAAGGGGTGGGAAGAAGGAAAAGGAGAGGGAAGGAGGGACTCTGAGGGAGGGAGAGAAACTACACCAAGGTGTATCAGTTCTCTATCAACAGAGATGGACAGAAAGGGGAAAAAAACATTTCCTCAATGAATCCAGCAAAGGATGGCTAAGTACCCAGCTAGGAAGTAATACGGAAGGAGGTGCGTGCATATGTGTAACAGATGCAGGCAATTTAAAATATGCATTTGCCACGTTTAGCATACTACTGTATAAAATAATCCTTCACCAAAGCAGGAAAAGAGAAAACTAAGCCTGGTGGTGGTTTATACTTATAATCCCAGCACTAAAGGATAAGGGATTTGAGGCCATCACAAGATATAGGATAAACATAGGATTCCAAAACTACATAGGTACTTTCAAGCTACTTCCTAAGTGCCTTCCCCGTTCCTAGTCACCATCACCCCATCCTTTGCTTTCTAGACACTCAACTTGAAAGCAAGTAAATGTACAGCTTCTTCTGCGGCCTTAATGTTACGAACTGGAGAGCCTTCAATTCTGACAAATAACAGCAGCCACTTCCACTTAAAATATATTACTGTTCTTATTTATTAAAAGATATAAAACCCAGGGCTGGCAAGGTGGCTCAGCAGGTGAAGACACTTGTCATCAAGCCTGACAACCTGAGTTCAATCCCCAGGACCCACATGGTAGAAGGAGAGAAGAACAGAGTCTTTTAAGTTGTCCTCTGATTTCTACATGAGCACTGTGGCATGCACTCCCCTCCATACATATAATTAAATAGATGTAGTTTAAAAACAATACCTGAATAATGAGCATGTATTATCCACACTAATGTTGAAGACTCCATCTTCTCTAACATTTTTTTTGTGCACAGTACCTCCAAATACTTTATTCATCATCTGTTCAAAAAGAAAAGCAATATGTTCATATGAATCAAAAGAACTCATTATGCTGAAGTAATCATATCTCCTGCTTCCAAATACCCGTTTATGTTTATACCATAAAAAAAAATACATATATAAGTAAGTAGAGTTTAGCCGAGCGTGGTGGCGCATTCCTTTAATCCCAGAACTCAGGAGACAGAGGCATGTGGATTTCTGTGAGTTGAGGCCAGCCTGGTCTCCACAGCTGTGGCTACAGGGGGACCCTGTCTCAAAAATGACTAATATAAATAAATAAATAAATAATAAAAAGTCTGATAAATGAAGACAGCCATTACTACTACATAGAAAGTTATTAAGAGGAATAATTACCTAACAAAATGATTCAAAATTTGACCTAAATTTTGTTAAAACACTGGCAGATTTTTCCATTACTTTAATTCACGTATTAAAAACAATAAATTTCTGGGGCTGGAGAGATGGCTCAGGGGTTAAGAACACAGATTGTTCCTGTAGAAGACCTAGGTTCTAATCCCGGCACCCACATGGCAGCTAACAACTGTCCGTAACTGCAGTTCCAAACAGCCTCTTCTGTTCTCCTCAGGCATTGCACAATATGGGTGCACTAACCTACATGCAGGCAATACATGCATACACATAAAATAAAAATAACAAAATATTTTTTAAAAAGCATTAAATTTCTTTAATACTAAAGTCAGAATTTGATTTAAAATCATCTGCAAAGGTACACTGAGCTTAAAAAAAAATGTTTAAGGGGCTAAAAAGCCTTCTGTGGTGGTGCACACCTTTAGCCTCAGCACTTGGAAGGCAGAAGCAGGCAGATCTCTGAGATCAAGACCAGCCTGGTCTACATAGCAAGTTCCTGGCCAGCTGGGGCTACAGATAGACCCTGTCTCAAAAATAATTTTTTTTTTTTTAAGAGATAAAGGACTAGAGAGGAGACTCAGTGTTTAGAAGCACTTGTTGCTGTTGTGGAGAACCTGAGCTCAGTTCCCAGCATCTACATGGTGTCTCACCACTGCCTCTCTAGTTCCAGGGGAACTGATGCCCTTTCTGGCCTCCATAGGCACTAGGCACACAAGAGATACATGCAGCCATTCACACATACACATATGCAATAAAATAAATAAATCTTAAAAAAAAAAAAAATCTAATGCCATAGTAGAAAATAAATACCATAACAGGAATTCTGAAAACCAAAAAGCCCTCCAAGATATTTAATATTTTATGCCAAAAGAACAGTCAGAAAGCCTACAAAAAGGGTGTGGTAAATCCACTGCTTTGCAGTTAAACCCGTCTACTGAAATTCCATATTCCAGTAGACGCTTATTTCATTCTGTCCCTCCCTTTTTTTTTTTTTTTAAATCTTTTTGAGACAGGGTCTCCCTGCAGCCCCAGCTGGCCTGGCACTAACTATGTAGATCAGGCTGGCCATGAACTCACAGAGGTTTGCCTGCCTCTGCCTCCTGAGTACTGGGATTAAAGGTTTGTGCCACCATACCCAGCATTCTGCACCATCCTAAACCCTCCACATCTGATAAATACAGCTTTGACATCATAACTACAGTTTAGTTTGGTGTGTGTTTTATAAAAGTCCTAAGGATAAAGACAGCCAGACTCCAACAAAGAGAAAAGGCCAAGTAAATATTTAATCTTGTAGTTTATAAAAGCAAATTATTCAAAACCATTAGCAAATGCTACCCTGCCCCCCAATTTTTTTTAGGCATTCATTCAGTTGAGTCTCTCAGTAAAGAAACATGTTACCCTTTGTTTAACCCAGTAATTCTCAAGCTCAAGTCTCAGATACAGCCCCTTTCTCCAGCACATGAAGGTACAGTGTAAGAGGCCAGGCTACAGTCTAATCTAATCTACAGCCTCTAGTCTTGTCCATGTTCTAGTCTAGATTCTGGAGTGCTACCAGTGCTACCTACTAAAAGTTAAGATGAATGAGGTAGCACATGATTAAATTCTTCAATGGCCCTCTAGCATCTACAGATGAGGGTGGACTCAGTCTCAAGGCCCTATTGTGCCAGGAGCAGTTCTTCAACTCTAGCCATTACAACCCAGAGGCATCTCTACACAAATGCTGACAAAATGGACAAAAATAAAATTTTGTTTCTAGATTCTGAAATCTGAATCTCATTTCATTTTCACATTCTACATATAAAAAAATATAACCTTTTTTTTTAAAGAACAAGGCCTTAGCCGGGCATGGTGGCACCTGCCTTTAATCCCAGCACTCGGGAGGCAGAGGCAGGCGGATCTCTGAGAGCTCAATGCCAGCCTGGTCTACATAGGGAGTTCCAGGACAGCTGGGGCTACAAGGAGATCCTGTCTCAAAAAGACCACAAAAAATAAAAAATTAAAAAATTAAAAATAAAAAACAGGGCCTCATATAGCCCAGGTTAGTCTCAAATTCTTTGCTATGTAGCCAAAGGTATCCTTGAACACTTGATTCTTCTGCCTTTACTAATTCTTTATTAAAAGTTTTTTTTCCCAGTCATTTAAAAACATAAAAACCATCTTTGTTTGCAAGCCAAGTAAGACAGATTTAGCATGCATGCCACCGTTTGCTAATTCCCTGGTTTATAAATTCCAAGTCCATTATATCAAACACAAGACTTTTTATTACATGGCCCTTAACTAATATTCAGTTTGACCTCTCATCCTTCCCCTTATTCTCCAGTTCACCCACTCAAACTTGTATGATTATCAAAACAGACCACGATGTCTGTTCGAACTCTTTACAGCCCAAGGGGCAGGGCAGTGTGCAGCCTAGAGCCATCATTCAAAAGCGCTGAGTGAAAAATGAACGTGTTCATCTTCAATGAGCCTTCATGGGCACTTCTGCCTCCCATAACCCACAGTTCATAATTAGAAAATAGCTACAAGACTAAGATTGTTGGAACTGTGCATAGTCCGAACAGTCTAAATAAGCAAAGACTTCTACAAAGCTAAGGGCTTGTAACAATATTTAGAACTATCTCACCTGTTCAGAAAGCTTTTGTGATTATTTTTTGGCTCTGTATTAGTAAAAGCCAAAGAACAAAAAGCTGAGGAATCAGTTAAACATGTATTTGAAAAGGGATGACCACATAAAGAACTTATTTTGGCCAGCCGTGGTAGCACACGCCTTTAGTCCCAGAGGCAGGCGGATCTCTGTGAATTCAAGGCCAGCCTGGTCTACATAGCACGTTCCAGGCTAGCTGGGGCTACAGGGAGACCCTGTCTCAAAAAGACCAAAAAAAAAAACAATATGGTTTTCACTCTCTCCCTGTTGGCTAGCTTTCAGTGTTAAAAGATTTTATGCAGGCTACTAGGGGAGAAAAGACATCAACGGTATTATCCAGCATCAGATCCTATATGCTATAATACCATCCTACCAAGCAAAAAGTGTCCACTGGATTAATATCAACAATATTGTTTACAAAGGTAAACAACCATTCTCTTGATTAGATTGGAGACCTGTTCCACAGGAGAGAACTCATGCCTGGTGCTTTACAATAGTAAAAACCCATTGCTAAGGAAGTCATAGGCCCTAGGGGAGAGCCTATTAATGTTGTTTTTCTAAATGGTTATCTTGTCAAACTGTCTTTAAATAATTATGTTTATAGCCACAGATTTTGCTGCTCCCATACTGCTCAAAGAAGCTTCTTGTTGCACTGAGTGGTGGTTAATTCAGAGCTGCATTGCTGCTCAAAGTACTGAGAATAAGGGACTGTCAGTACTCAGCTGTAGGTGGGATATCTGTATCAACACCCCACCAGCAACCCATGTCCCCCCATATCCTGCAAGGATTCAGGAACACTGTAGAAGAGGGGGCAGAAAAAATACAGGCACCAAAGGACAAAGAAGAGTGCTGTGAACTGCTGTTATCTGAACATGGCATGACCACTGCACACATGAATTCACAGCAGCTGTGATTACCTGCACAAGACCTACACAGATGAAGCCATTTAAAAATTCCAGCATGATGGAGGGAGGGGCTGCTGAGCCCCTATCCTTAGCTATGGAGCTTTTGGCAGTTGAAAGCTGCTGGGGACAGTCACTTTTCCTTGGGGATGTAGTCACTGAGAGGTTTCCCCATGCCCCAGTGAATGACCCACAGTCCATGAAATGAGAATATGAGCAGGGCTAGCTGGACTCAGCAGGTGGATTGATGAGTGGATGGACAGACGGACAAACAGATGGATGGACACAGACACACACGCATACCCCAAATTAAGAGGGAGAGATGATGGGGGGAGGGGATTCTGGGTGACTGAATGGTAGATATGATCAAAATACACTGTATACATGTATGAATGTATGAATGGGGGAGGGGTTGAGACATGTTCTCACTATGTAGCCCTGGTTGGCCTGGAACTCACTGTGTAGACCAGGCTGGCCTCTAACTCACAGATTTCATAAGCCCTATCCAGACCTAGCTTATAGGCTCAGATCTTCTTTTTTATCTGTGTATGCTAAGGTTGTACAATAAGGCTTAGATTAAGGAGGAGAAGAAAGTCTACCAATAAAAGTAATTTGGGAGTGGAGCACAACATCAACACTTTGTTATCTTGTGGCAGATCACACTGGTAGGTGAGGCAGGAGAACTACAAGGTCCAGGTCCACCTAGGCTACACTGCGAGATCCTATCTCAAACAAAAGCTAAACAAAAGAAAGAAAAACATTTTTGGACAAAAACTTTCAGGGAATATAAAAAAGACAAGTCAGGCATGGTGGTGCACGCTTTCAATCCCAGTACTTGGGAGGCAGACGCAGACAGATCTCTGTGAGATCAAGGCCAGGCTGGTTTACATAACAAATGCCAGGTTAGCTGGGGCTACAGTAAGACCCTTGTCTCCAAGAAAGACAAAAAAAAAGACAAGGGCTGGTGAGATGGCATAATGGGCAAAGGTACTTGCTACTAAGCCTGATGCCCTGGGTTCATTCACCAGAATCTGTCCAAGGGAAACAGAAAACTGACTCTTGTCAAGATGTTTTTTTGGCCTCCATACACACAATGTCTCATACGTGTACCCTCCACCCCCAACAATAAAATAAAAATGTAATTAAAACTTCTCTTAAAAAAAAAGAAAGAAAGAAAAAAAGCCAAGTAGGCAAAGGTGTGATGGTACACACCTTTAAGCCCAACAAACGCAGGAGGATCTCTGTCTGTTCAAGGACAGCCTGGTCTACATGGTTGAGTTCCAGGTTACACAGTAAGACCCTGTCTCAGAAACAAGTAAAGTTGGGGCTGGAGAGGTGGCTCAGCAGTTAAGAACACTTCTTGCTCTTCCAGAGAACCTGGGTTCAGTTCCCAGCATCTACATGGCAGCTGAGAACTGTTCCAGGAGTTCCGCTTCCTCTTCTGGACACCAGTGAACACCTACATACATGCAGGCAAAACACTCATACACATAAAAAAATACATCTTTAAAACTTTTTTTTAAAAAAGCCAAGTGAACCCATAAACATTAGAGACAAGCTACTATGCATCTGTAACATCTGTGTGTTTCATTATGATAGGACAGCTGGCAGGAGTTCAGTATGTAACATAAAGATCTCTCCTATCATAATGAAGCACACAGATGACTCAGGGTAAAACCAGGCAAAAGTTGAGGATGCAGCTTAGCTTGGTTGGCAGAGTACTTGCCTAGCACACCCAAAGGCCTGGGCTCATGTCTAGCAACAATAAGCAGAGTTGAATTTCTGCCAGAATATCAAGATCAGTCTATTGTGTTATCCACCCACAACAGTCCATATTAGTAACAAAACTCTTCACACACTTAATATCAGTAGGCCTGGCTACAGCTATTAAATAACAGAAAAACTTCGCCTTGCAATTACATAGGAAACTTACAGAGAAAAATGCTAAACCACTGTATCATTTTTAATATTTGGGGTTTTTTAATTTTTTTTAAATACTTTATCATTTTTATTTTATGTGTTGCCTGTATGTGTGTAAGTGCATCTGTGTCATGCAATACCCAGAGTCAGAAGAGGGAATTGGATTACCCTGGAACTAGAGTTACAAATGATTATTAGCCACCATGGGGGTTCTGGGGATTGAAACTGAAACTGGGTCTTCTGAACTATTTCTTCAGCCCTTTTTTCTTCTGCCCACACAAGCTAGAAGAGTGCATCAGATACCCTGGATCTTGAGTTATGGATGGTTATTAGCCGCTATATGAGTGCCAGGTCCCAAACCCAGGTCCTCTGCAAAAGCAGCCAGTGATCTTAACCACTGAGCCATCTCTCTAGGCCCAATATATTTTTGGTTTTTTTTTGAGTTACAGTCTCCTGTAGTCCTGGCTAGCCTTGGAATATTGCCTCTACATAACAAGGTATGTGCAACTAAACCAGTATCTTTTTGTTGCTGTTGGACTTTTTTTGTTGTTTGTTTATTTAGTTAGTTAGAGGCAGAGTCTCTTACAAAACCGCAAGTGAGAAGTCATATTATAATGACTGACTATTCTGGCAAGGAGGAACTATAAACTGTGTAAATATGTTAGACGTTGGGACAAAGGTATATTGAAAAATGTAGTCAGCCAATTTCCAATATTCAATTTAATCAGGATGCAGGCTCTTTTAGACGAAACAAACAATTTTTCCAAAGTCAAATTTATAATCATCATTTAGGCTTTTTCAGAAACAAGAAAAAAGGAGACTTCTACTATAAAACTTTTTGTCTAATAGAAAATACTGTAGATTTTATACTTCACATACTTTAGTGACTACTATTTTCTCTTAACCAACATGGAAAATCATCATAAGCAACTTTAGGAAATCAAATCTGGTACAGCAGTTTTACTGGCTGGATTCTTCTAGTATTGTGCTCAATATTCAACAACAGGAACTACAACAGCCGATTTTCTTATGTGAATACTGAATTGTATTTCCTGATTTCACTAAAAGCCCAGAGCCATCTATAAGAAAGCGCATTAATCTTTACTTTCTCCTTTTCAAGCAGCTTCCCTTAAGCACAACAGATTCAACCATTTTATTTTAAAAAAATCATTTTTTAACTTCCACTGTTTTGTCCACTTACTGTAATTTCAAATTATTCACATTTCAAGAACTTAACCAACTCACTGAAAGACATGAACAGCTCTCTAGGGTATCACAAGTAGACTAATTCCACTTCCACATGGGTCATGTCTTCTACTGTATCATTGCATGATAAAGCCAAAAGGTAGGCAAACGGAATAGAGGCAGATAATTTACAAACTGAACAAGTTGATCCACAGTCATAATCCACTTGGCTATTCTTAGCACAGAAGAAAACCTTGAGGTTTTTTTTTTGGGGGGGAGGGGTTGGAGGAGAGGGAGGAGGCATGGATTTGATCAAAACACTGGGTGCTGGGATTTGAACCCGGGTCTTCTGCAAGAACAACCAGTGTTCTTAACTGCTGAGCCATCTCTCCAGTCCCATGTCATTTTTTTTTAAAAAAAAAAAAAAAAAAAAAAAAAAAAAAAAAAAAAAAAGAAGTGAACTATATTAGAGCACTCGAAAGGCTACAGAAGGATCGCTAGTTTGGTCTACACAGCCTAAATTCTGTCTTAAAAAGATGAGCAAGATGGATGGGGGAAAGCAAGGACATAAAATATACTAATGCATCAACTAATAACAGATTAGTCAGGGACGCTTCCTAGCTCAGTTTCCAGATGATCTAATCAAATAAGACAGTATTTCAAGTTATCTAACTGGATAATCATTTTGATTACAACTATAAGTAAAAACTTTTTTAAAATGTATCTATTTATATTCTTTCAATCTTGTTAAATAAAACTGTTCTTCAATAAATGGGAATTCAGCATGTTACTGGTTCAGCATTATCTATCACCTTATCAAAGATAATACTTGCCAGGTAAATCTCTATTTTTTTTTTGGGGGGGGGGGACTTTTTGAGAAAGGGTCTTCCTGTAGCCCCAGCTGGTCTAGAACTCACTATGTAGACCGGGCCAGCCTTGAACTCACACAGATCTGCCAGTCTCTGCCTCCCAAGTGCTGGGATTAAAAACGTGTATGGGGCTGGAGAGACAGCTCAGCGGTTAAAAACACCGGCTGTTCTTGCAGAAGACCCAGGTTCGAATCCCAGCACCCACATGGCACCTAACAACTGTCCATAACACCAGTCCCAGGGGATCCGACTGCCTCTTCTGATCTCCACGGGCATTGCACGACACAGGTGCACTTACCTACATGCATACACATAAAATAAAAATAACTAAAAAATTAAAACAAAAAAGCAAAATTGTGTTACCAAACTTGGCTAAATCTGTATTTCTTAAACTAAGCTAGTATGGCCAAAATATAGAACACTTAGTAACAAATGATGGTGGGTAGGTGGAACAAGAGGAATTCTCATTATTTAAAAGGTGAACAGTATTGTATTATAAGTTCCTTATTCAGTTAGTTCCGTAATGCTAGTATAGCAATTAATACACAGGAGTAATATGCACAGATTACCCTAAAGAAACAAGTACTGCTACAGTTCAAATCACAAGAAGAATAAAACGTTAAGTCAACTCAAAGTCAATTTGCAGCTGTACCTGCATGCCATAGCAAATTCCAAGAACAGGCTTGCCAATGGTGAATATTGCTGGATCAAACCAGGGGGCATCTTCTGCATACACAGAATTGGGTCCTCCAGAGATGATGATAGCACTGTGGATTCAAAGAAGAGAGTCAGTGAAGAATCTGGCTGCTAATCTTTATAAAAAGTCTATCCTTTAACAATATCCTCAACAAATGTCCCATTTTGCCCCATATGCTCTGCTCTTAAAGGTCAGGTCAATAGTGTTATATAATTTAGCTACATTATAATTAGCAAAACAAACAGTCTATAGGTTAACTGAGGAGTGGGGACTACTAAAGGACAGGTAGGTACAAGCTGAGGCCCACATTCCTCACATGGCCACTGACACATCTTATCCAGCCTTCAACCGTCTAGAAATTAAAAACATTTAATAGGAATAGGATGTGAAAATTTCTATTTACAGATATTCTCTAGGCGGGGAAAAAAAAACAAAAACTAAAGCTGACAACCAGAAGCCACCAGAGATTCTGGTTTGATTTGGTTTGGAGACAGTCCCATGACATTGCCAAAGCAGGCCTGGAACTCACTATCCTGCCTCAGTCTCCTGAGTGCTGGGACAACAGGCATGCCACAGCCAGCTATACTCCAGGTCTTGACTCCTGCAATGACTACAAACAGCTAAAACAGGGAACTTGTGCAGGCATGGTGGTGCCTGCCTATAGCCTCAGCACTTTGGAAGCTAATAATCCTAGTGAACTCATAAGACTTCTCTGAATTTTGTGTGGGTAATATGAAACAAGGTATACAATATTATCTTCTGCTAAAGAAATGAAAGAATCTATTCAAATGATAAAGAGGTTTGGGGTCAGACCTAAAGTAGATCTATAACCTACTTCCTACCAAAGCTCAAGTTCTGTAAAACATAAAGCAAATTTTGTTAAACACAGGGCTGTAGGGATGTAACTCAACGGTAGTGTTTGCAAGGCCCCAGCAACAACAGAAGAGGAAGGAGGGAAGTCAGCGTACTTAATACCAGAAATTTTAGACTCTCAAATACTTAGTCTGGGGATTGTTTTTAAATGTACTTATTATTCTGTGTGTGTACATGATGGGGGGACAGGGTGTGTGCTACAGCACTCCTGTGAAGTTAGAGGACAATCATGTAGAGTTGGTTCTATCCTTTCACCTTATGTGAGTTCTAGGCTGGCCCTGAACTCAGAGACCTGCCTACCTCTGCCTCCAGAGTGCTGGGATTAAAGGCATGCACCACCATGCCCAGCAACACACTTTTTAAAAAAAAAGAAAAAGAAACAGTTGTTAATACATATGCACTATACATTGATTGGAATTTCTAATTTCATAAAACACTAATGGACACAAAAAGTCCTATGTCTTAGTAACAGTGAGTGATTTCCTCCCCATTTTCTCAATCTCTAGATAGGTTATCACGAGGGAGGGAGGGAGGGAGGGAGGGAACCAACAAAGATTGCCCATAGTTCTTAATCTTGGAGATGAGACCCCATGAAATTCCCCCCTTCCACCCTGGCATGTCAACTGGTTTTGTCACTATGCAGATCTTGTTCGACAGCACACTGTGGAGATTTCATTGGTGTAACTTCCTTATCATGTCTAGAACGTATTAACTAGCAGCAGGTGGGGTTTTTTGTCCCTCTGGCTCTTACATTTTCCATGATGTTCCCTGAGACTGAGGTACTGAGGTTGCATTGTAGATGTATCACTTAGAGCTGAGCACCTTACAGTCACTTATTCTTTGTATTCTGAGCAGTTGTGGAACTTTGTAATAGTTTCCATCTCTTACAAAAAGCTTCTTTGATGAGTGTTGAGCGGACACTTGTCTGTAAATATGAGGATATGTATTTAGAATACAGTAAGAAATTATATTAGTCTAGGAAACGGACAAAAGTAGGTTCTTCTCTAGGGTCTATGAGCTCTCTAACCATGTGTACTTGGCTGTTTACAGTGCCATGCATGAATTCCCTTCTAATCAATGGATGCTGAGAAGGGGGAGAATCAGTTTTCTCCAGGTACTAGTTCCCTGAGAGGTTATCTAATACCAAGCAAACAGTCAAACACAGGTACACATGAGCACCACTAAATGGACTCAGTGCATTTTATGGATGTGTGTATTTATAAATATATGTACGTACACATTAACATAATAAAGAAGCAAACAAGAAACTTTTGAGAGAGAGTCAGGAACAGAGTAGGAGCTGGAGGGGTACTGGGAGGGATAGAAATAATATAAATACAACTATGAAAGCATGAAATTCTCAAATTTACAAAAAGAATTAAGCCAGGCATGGTGGTGCATGCCTTTAATCCCAGCACTCAGGAGGCAGAGGCAGGCAAATCTCTCTGAGTTCAAGGCCAGCCTGGTCTACAAAGTGAGTTCTACCAGCTGGGGCTACAGGGAGACCCTGACTCAAAAAGACAAAAATAAATAAATAATTAAATATTAACAAAGAAACCTTAAGTTAACTACAGCATATATCAAAGGAACTTACCAGATAATTACAGAATATTGTGTGACAGAAACAGAACAGAACACACATTCTTCAACAGTACATGAAACTGTCAGTAAAACAGATTAGATTCTAGGCCACAAGAAGCATTGAAATAAACTCATTTAAAAAAAAAAAAAAAAAGCAAAGCCAGGTGTGGTGGCATATACCTTTAATCAGGACTCGGGAAGCAGGCAGATCTTTCTGAGTTCAAAGCCAGCCTGATCTACACAGCAAGTAACAGGCCAGCTGGGGCTACAGGGAGACCCTGTCTCCAAAAGATTAAAATAAAAACAAACCTACAGAAACATGAATTCATAGAGACATAATCTCTTACATGTTCCATGGATCACGGAAGAAACCAGGAAGAGGACAAAAAGGTTAGAACCAAATGAAAACAAACGCACAACTTATTAGAACCTTTACAGCACACTCAAGGCAGTTCTAAGAGGAAAGATTATTTTATATTTTTTAAAAAAAGACCAGAAAAAAAGGGGGGGTGGAATTTCAAATAAATATCTAACTATGCACCTCAAGGTCTTGGAAAAATAATGACCTAATCCCAAAACCAGCATGCACCCGGATATATTAAAGATCATGGCAGAAATTAATTAAATGAAGACTGAAACAGGAATACATAGGGCCATCAGGATGGTTCAGAGGGTAGAGGTGCTTGCATACAGACCTAAAAACCTAGTTCAACTCTCAGATCCCTTATGATGGCAAGAAAGAACCAATGCCCAAGAGTTGTCTTCTGACTTCTACAAGTGTGCCTGCACTCACACACACAATAAAAGTATGTTACTACAGAGTTCTATAAAATAAAAGAATCATTAGGGAATACTTTAAAAAACTTACATACAAGGGCTGGAGAGATGGCTCAGCAGTTAAGAGCACTGACTACTCTTGCAGAGGACCCGAGTTTGATTCCCAGCACCCACATGGAGGCTACGAACCGTCCTTAACTCCAGTTCCGGGGAATCTGATGCCCTCTTCTGACCTCTGAGGCACTGCACGACATGGGTACACTAGCACACATGCAGGAAAATAAAAATAATAAATAAAATATTTACCAAAAAAAAAAAAAAAAGTGCCAAAAAACTGGAAACCTGTAGGAATGACTTTTCTGGGAATGTCTTCTGTTACAAATGGAATCTTACCTAACCTTGTGACCAAAGTTAATCTTCTGTTCTAAGATCCTGAATGAAACAGGAACATCCACTAGAGTTCCACTCTTGATCAATATAGTTACATCTGTTTGCAGATGACAAGAGCCTATACTTAAAACACCCAAAGATTTCATCAGAAAACTCTTAAACCTGATATGTTCAATGAAATAGCAGGATATTAAAAAAAAAAAAAATCAACATACAAAAACTATCTTTGTCCAGTAACAGTGACAAAGAAATCAGGAGAAAAAATACCTCCAGTAGCTTCAAAAAAAAAAAAAAAAAAAAAACCTGTGAACAAAACTAAGCAAAGAGGCTTCTATAATGAAAACTTTAAGACACTCACAAAAGAACAATACCTCAGAAGATGGAAAGATGTTCTAAGCTCATGGATTGGTCATTAGTATTATGATAAAGGCTATAATACCAAAAGTAATCAACAGATTCAATGCCATCTCCATCAAAAGCCCTGACATTCATTGTGGAAGGGAACACAAAAGACACCAAATACCAACCAACCCTTCACAAAGAGAGCCATGCTGAAGGTATTATAATTACCAATTTCAAATTACACTACTGAGCCTTGGTAATAAAAATGGCATGGTCCTGGCACAAAAACAGAAACAAATACCAAGGGAGCGGAACAGTGGACAGAGAAATGAACACACAGATATAGCCACCTAATTTTTGACAAAGCTGTCAAAAACATGCATTGTTTTTGACAAATGGTACTGGGGAAACTGGACTTCCACCTTTCCACCTGCACAAGAATGAAATTACATGCAAATCTCTCACCCCTCAGAGAAACTGATGAAAACCTTTTTGAATGTAAGATCTGAATATTTGAAACTGCTAAATAAAAACATAAAGAAGAAAAAAACAAATAGCCAATAAATAATTAGGAAGTGTTTAACATCCTTAAGCCCTTAGGAAAATGCAAATGAAACGCTTTGAGTTTCCATCTCATTCCAGTTAGAAAAGCTATCATCAAGGAAACAAATGAAGGTTGGAGAGCCAGTTCAGCTGTTAAAGGCTAAGGCTCATAACCAAACATCAAATGTTCAGTTCCCAGCATTCATGTCGTTAAAGCCCATCTCTCCAGTTTCCCTTTTCTACCCTACAATATCATGCTCATGCACCAATAAAGAAAAGACATTTTTAAAAAAAAAAAAAAAAAGGAAAGAAAATAAAAGCCAGGCAGACAGTGATGCACACCTTTAATCCCAGCACACACAGGTAGAGGCAGGTGGACCCCTCTGAGTTTGAGGTCAGAGGGGATCACTGTGAGGCCTTGTCTCCAAAAAGAAAGAAAAAAAAAAAAAAATGAGGAACTTAGGAGGTGGCTCAGTCCATAATGTGATAATGTGCTCACTATGCAACTATGAGTACCCGAGTTTAGATACTTAGCACCCATGTAAAAGCCTAGCATGGTAGCAT